AGCAGAAGCTGAGACAAAGACTCATTTAGCAGCCATGCAGCTCTTGGGCTTAAACTTGGTAGGACCACTTCTTTGAAGGAACTGAGCTGAGTCTGAGTGGACTCACCCCAGAGACCAAGATGGGGATAAGGGGAAAGTGTGTCCTCAAGGCACGGGGGGGGGGGGGGGGGGAACTGTCTGTACTTTTGTCCTTTCTGTATCTTTGAATAAATATTATTTTATATAAGCTAATTGATGTTAAGTGGCTAAATGGAACTGGGGCCGATGGTCCCTGGAGATTTACAATGGGGGGAACACAATTGCTGGGTGCTGGAGCCAAAGACATTAAGGGAATACCTCCAACTGTCTCAGGTTACTCCTAAAACCTTGAGGAAAACATGCAGCAACTTCACTGTGGGAAACTGAGGACAGGGTATACTCACTATATCCCCTTAATAAAAACATTTGTACTGTAAAACTTGAACTCAGTCAGAAGGCTGAATCCAAGGACCTAGAAGGCCACATATGGCCTTGAGGCCGAAGGATCCCCACCCTAGCACTAGATTATCTCTTTAGGTCCTCACTTGACTCTGGGCCTTGATTTCCTCATCTTTAAAATGAAGAAACTATCTTCTTAGCAAGGATCTAAGATAACCCAAAAGACTCGTGGTGGAAAATGCTATCCACGACCAGAAAAAGAACCACGGAGTCTGAATGAAGATTGAAGCATACTATTTGCTCTCTCTTTCTTTTTTTCATTCCTTCTTTCTCATGGTTCCTCCCATTGGTTCTAATTCTTCTTTAAAAATGACTAATGTGAAAATATGTTTAATATGAAAGTATATGTAGAGCTTATATCAGATTGTACACTGTCTTGGGGTGGTGGCAGGGGAAGGAGGGGGAGAAAATTTGGAACTCAAATCTTATGGAAGTGAATGCTGAAAACAAAATAAATTAATTAATATTTTAAAAAATAAAATGAGGAGGCTAGACTAGATGGTGTCTGAGGTCTAGCTCTACCTATGATCTATGAACTACTCAGTAAGAGAGATGCTATTATTATTCTTGTTTTATAGATGGGGTAGCTGAGCCTTAGAAAGGTAATAGTGACTTTTCCAGGGCTATGTGGGTTATAAATGTTAGTAGTAGGGCTTGAACTCAGGTCTTCCTAAATACAAGTCCAGCCCTACTATGCCGCCATGCTGCATCTCAAGACAGAGCACCATAGGCAAGTGTAAAGAGCTTTCCAAACTTTATAGTGTTGTAGAAATGTCAGCCAGGGGTGCAGCAGTTAAAGTGAGGAGCCTGGAGTTCAAATCTGGCCTTGGACACTTACTGGCTATGTGATCCTGGGCAAGTCAATTCACCCTGTTTGCCTCAGTTTCCTCATCTGTAAAATGAGCTGGAGAAGGAAATGACAAACTACCCCAATATCTCTGCCAAGAAAACTCCAAATGGGGTCATGAAAAGTCAGACACAATTGAAAAACTGAGCAACAAACACGCAACCACACGTACAGAAAGCGTGGCTTCTCCGCCAAAAGATTTCTCCTTTGTTTAGCATGTAGGAAGTGGATGATTTAATTCCCCAGAATCAAGGTCAGAAAGACTCAAGAAACAACCTCCCTAATAGCAGAAAAGATAATGAATCTCCCCCAGCCCTGGAAACTCATTTGAAAAAGAAATCTTTCTCTTTCCCTGACAATTCTCCATTAGAAATTCAGGCTTTGGTTTTGTTATCAATAGATGGGTTTCATGCATTGAGTTATCCCTTCTGGAAACTAAAGCCCTGTACAGTCTGAACAAAGGGTTTTTTGTGAGCATGGAGCCAAGAGTTCTTCTCCCTGGGTCGCTGGGGCTCCTTACCCAGAGAGGAAAGACACTAGAAGAAATAGCTCCGTCTCCCTTGGGGAATATTGGAAGAAGTAAAGCATAGCTCTGTTTTTTTTCAGTCTGTGGGGCCCTGTAGACCATGTTCCCACTTGACTACTCCCTGCGACATGGTAATCAAGGTTGGGCTCCACCTTTCTGAGATGAGACCCAGTTTTTCAAGTGTGAGAAGTCTCTTCTCCAAACTGAGAGCCACTCAACCAGAAGGAGGCCAGAACTGCAGAGTGAATTCATCCAGAGACAGCCCAGGCCTTAGTGTTTAAGTCGATGGGGGTGACTTCTAGGTACTTCCTGTATGATCTAAGAAAAGTAGAAATCCGGGAAACAAATGCCTTGGCCTTGTGGCTCCCCTTCCACCCTGGGCCATTTTGGGGCCCAGCAGAATTCTGTGGTCATGGGTGAAAACCTCAACCTTTCACTACCACTAGCTGCTGTTTGCAGCTGTTCACACAGCAGGCTGCTTCAGTCTTTGGATGAGAGCAGGCTGTGACAATCTCTGGGCTATCCCAAGCCTCTTTATGTCTGGTACCTTCCCAGGCAGAACAATGAGCAGAGGTTTTCTAGACTGGGCAAGCTTCGTTTTGCCATCGACTGAGAGAGCAGACTAGACAAGCAGACTTTTCCACAGGCAGTATATGGGAGGTACCTACAGCATATTTCAATTCAATAATATTTATTAAAGTTCCAAGCAGGTCCAAAGCTAGGCATTGGGGATAGAAAGACCAGCTCTTCTCGACGTCTACAATCCAAATAGTTTGGCATGTTTCCTGAATGAATAAATGTATGCAAAATGAGAAGCAGTGTTATTTTTGCGAGGGCACTTTCAGTAACAAGGCTGTATATAGAACACGGAGTGTTTCTCCTACCCCTAATATCACCATATGTCGATGGAAGCCCTACAATAAGGGAGTTCAGATTGTGGGGGAGTGGAAAGGAGGTGAAAATGTGGAGTTAGGAAGGGCTGGCTCAACTCTCCCCTGACAGCACAGAGGCCATTTGACTCTGGGTAAGTGGCTTAACTTTTCACTGACCCACCTAACTGTCCAAGGGTATAAATTGCTGAGCGTGTGTGAGATCTATTGGCAGAGGGACGTTCCTCCCTGGGAATTCCCAATACCAAGGAAATCATGGTTCTGGTAAAAAAAAAAGGCCAGGAGTCAGGAAGACTTAAATCCCACCTGGGTTGCCTAATAGCTGTGTGAGCCTGTGTGGGCAGGTGACAATCTCTTTGGGTCTGTTTCTTCAAGTTTAACTTAATGACATTTAAAGTTCCCTGTCCAGCTCTAAATGCATGCTTCTGTAGGATCAAAGATCAGGCTCTGGGATTTGGGTCTCTGAGTAAGTAATTTAACTCCTCTATGGATGGGTTTCCTTATCTTTAGAAGGAGAAGGTTTGGTTCCTTGGCCTCTGAGGTGCCTTCTAACTCTGGGAAGCTCTCTCCCAGCAATGATTCAGTGACCTCTGAGGTTGCTGTTAGCTCTGGACCCCAAGTTTCCTACCTACTGAGGCAGATTGTACATGTCTAAGTCCTTGGAGGGCAGGGACCTTTGTCTTTATCATCTTTCCATGCCCCTCCCCCCCAGCTCTGCTGCTAGCAAAGTGCCCAGCACAGGGGAGGTGTTTGGAGGTGGTTGGATTGAAATGAAAAATGGGAATGAGAAATGTATTTTGGCTTAGCATTCCAGGGAAGAGGGTTTCTAGGAGAAAGGTGGGAGAGATGATCTGAGTCTTGGAGTGCGAGAGCTGGGAATGAGAAATTGGTGAAGGGGGAGAGAAAGGGAAGGAGGTAATTAAGTCTTCTTCAGTTGGTTGGTGGGACATTCCTCCCACTCAGGGTCTGACATTTTTCATAATTGAGTGAACCTGGGGAAATTATAAGGGAGGGGCAGTTGTAGTAACACCTCAAATGCAGAGCTCTTTGATAGAGTCAAGCCTTCTATATAATCAGAGGCTTCGGAAGAGAGGAGGAGGGAAGGGAATAAGCATTTACATAGCGCCTACTATGTCCCGTCTTGGGCTGGCACAAATATTATCTCATTTGACCCTCACAACGGTCCTGGGAGGTCGGTGCTATTATTGTCCCCATTTCACAGATGACAAAACTGAGGCAAACAGACCTTAAAGAACTTGAGCTAGCAGGTTTCTGATGCCAGACGTGAACTGGGGTTTTCCTGACTCCATGCTCACCACTCTGTCCACGGAAGAATCTACCTGCCTTAAAGAGCTAAAAGAGACTTTAGTGGTCATCCAATCTAACATTACAGTTGACAAGCCTGAGGTTCAGGGAGCCTACGCTACTGCCCCAAGGTCACAGGCAGGCTAGAAACCCGGGTCTTCTGTCGCCAAAGCCTCTGAGCATAGACTCGGAATTGAATGGGAGTTAAGGGGTCACCTGGTCCTTTTTTTTTTTTTAATAGAGAAGACGCTGAGGTCCGGAGACGGTAAGTGACTTGACCAAGGCCACCTCGTTCGTAAGCGGGCTGGCAGGGCCTCCGCGTTGTTGATTATCTCCCATTGATCGTGTCTATTTTTACATCGTAGTTTGCCCGTTCTCCCCAGTGTTAGACTGTGAGCTTCTCGAGGGCAGGGGCTGGCTCTTGCATTTTTTTGCACGCTCAGAGCTCAGAGCAGCGCCCGGCACATAAATAATAAATGCTTATTGACTGACATCCGGCGATCCTGGTTGCCGGAGCCCAGCTTCTAATGCCCGGACCCCAGCCCAGAAACGGTAAGCCTTGCACCCCCTTCTCTTCTGCCCGCCTCTCTCCTGGAGCTTCCCGCAGCCCGGCTCAGGGGGCGGAGCCTGGGAAGAGCAGTCCCCGCCCGCGTGGAAGGAAGGGGGAGAGGGTGGGGCTCCCGGAGGGGGCCGCGCGCCACGCTGGGCCGCGCCCCGCAGAGGTGTGAGACGGCCGCTGCGGGGGGCCGCCGGGGCTCTGGGCGCGCGCAGCTGGGGCTGTGGAGGGAGCCGTCGGGCTGCTCGCGGATGGTTCGAGCAGCAGGTGCGCGGGAAGGACTACAACTCCCGGCGTCCCCCGCGGGCTCCCGCTGGGCCTCGGCGGCCACTCGAGAGAGCCTGCGAGCCGAGCCCGAAAGCAGCCGTCGGAGGCGCGGCGGCTCGGAGCGCTCGCTTCGCATTGGGCTGTTGGGCTGCGGAGCCGCGGCGAGCAGCAGCAGCAGCAGCAGCAGCCGGAGGTGGAGGAGGAGGAGGAGCAGCGGCAGCGGCAGCACGAGCAGCAGCAGACGACGGCTGCAGGGAGCCCCAGCGGCGGCCGCGCGCTCTGGCCGTCTGTGGCACCCCGCCAGCCCGAGTGTCCGGGCTCTGGCTCTGGCTCGGGGCTCCTCCCCGCCTCGCTCGCGCGCTCCAACCCCCTGAGTCCCGATGCCGAGGCATGGATAGAGCGGCTCTCCGAGCAGCGGCAGCGATGGGGGAGAAGAAGGAGAGAGGAGGGGGTGCGGCAGCTGCGGCAGATGCGGGCTCAGCTGGAACTGGGGCCGGGACCGGGGCCGCGGCCGGCCGGGCTCTGCAGCAGTGCGGCCAGCTCCAGAAGCTCATCGACATCTCCATCAGTAGCCTGCGGGGGCTGCGCACCAAGTGTGCCGTGTCCAACGACCTTACCCAGCAGGAGATCAGGACCCTGGAGGTACGGGGCTGGGCAAGGTCAGGGCACAGGGGCAGGGGAGGTGGGGGGGTCTCTCTACCCGGCCCCTTCCCCCATCTACTCTCCGGCAAGCCGGGTCAGGGGCGGGAGAGAGGCGGGCTCTGGACCCAGTGCCAACTACCCCACCCCCTCCACCACCACCCCTTCTACGCCATCCCCCGAACTTTGCAGCGTTAAGTTGCACCCCTTTCCTGGGTGCTGCTGCAAACCGAGCGAGCAAGGATTTATGAAACGCCTACTGTGTGCCAGGCTCTGGGGATGCAAAAGCAAAAATGAAACCCCTGGGGTTGGGGGTGGGGGGAGGCCCTCGGGGGGAAGTTCTGGAGTCCAGGCTCTCTCTTTCTCTGTCTCTCGACATCGGCTTAGGTCTGTGCGCCCCCGGATCCTTCTTTACATGCCCTGATTGGCAGCTGCTTGTCTGCGGGCTAAGGGGAACCGTTCTTTCTCCTCAGAGTACGGACAGCCCAAGTGGGGAGGGGTGTTGCTGGAGTTTCGGATGAGGAGGTGTAGGAGAGAGGAGACAGCCCTCTAATTGCAGGAGAAATTTATCCTTCTAGAGAGGCAAGAGGTCCTTCCCCTTTTCAGGGAGTTTGGGGGAAGAGGTCGGATGACAAGTTTTGACGTCCAGCACCCCCGATGTCTCTCCTACACAGACTCCCGGCCCCCCACTCCCACTCTGTTCCCATTTTTTAGGCCCGTGAGGTTCTTAGGCATGTTTCTCCTTTTGTCACTGGGCTCCAACTATTCCCTGTGCATTTGAGGACACTCCCATGCCCTGCCTGCCAATGTGAGCTAAATGAAGTCTCGTTTTCAAAAAAGTCTCCCTTCCACCTTGGCCTCTTCTTCGTCTCAGTTCTTTCTTGATGTGTGCCCGGTACATCGATGGACCCTGCAGCATCGCTCTGCCAGCTGCTTTGCTATGTATCAGGCTTAAAAAAAATATATATATATTTTTTCCTGCTGAATCGGCGTTTCTCTCCTTCAGTCATTTGTTGCCTCGCCATCGGGTTACCATGGTATTAAGCTAATCAAAACAATTATCCACCTTCTGTTCCCCTGACTTCCTCCAAAAAATGGACTTTGGCTTATAACAGATTATACTCAGGAATATAGCATTTTTGTTGGAAATAGTCGCCATTAGAGAAGTACTGATGGTTGGGGGATGGGGGAAAGAGCTGCTGGTTTTTTTTTTAAATGACATCTCCTTCCAAACTCTCAAAGGGAAGTGAAGGCTTAATTGGGGTTGGAAGAACAATGTAAGAAGGTAGTTAGGTTCAGAGGGTCCATCCCTTCCCTTCACTTCCCCCTCTTCTTCTCCCCTCCCCCACTGCCGGGGTTCATACACAATGGGGGTGAAGATCAGTTCCTCCTTTCCAAACAGTGCTTTTGTCCAGAGACTTTTAAAGGCTGTGTATGTCCAGTGACTTTCTAAGGTTTAAGCTGTGTGGTCCTTATTAGGGAATGGCCTCTGGGTTTAGGCATGGGTCATTTGTCCGAGGTAGGGCTCAGAATACCTCAATTGGCAGGAGGCTTTCCCCCCCACTTTCCTCAGCCACCCAAAAACACCACACCAAAATTGTGGTTCCTGTTGTTACTTAATTATTGGTCAGTTGGTAGAGAACCAGCCGAAGGTGTTTGTAGGTGTTTTTAAGAGGATGGGTCTTTGCTTCCTCCATATGAAACAGCCACTGAAAAATCCACATTCTCATCCCAGTGACCCAGGGGTACAGGCTTCTCTCCTCAGAAATCTATTTCGGTAAAGGTCACTGGGTGGACTGGCGCCTCCCATTAAGACTTTTGTTATTTTTTTCTCCCTATAATAGCTCCCCCCTCCTTTTTTTTGATATGATAATTGTTTTCGAGTGCTCTTTGTGGGGGAGAGAATCTGATTTCTTGAAAGAGATGCTTGACTGTGATGGCCCGATGCAGTTCAGTGACAAGAGGAGCAATGTTGTATTGGTCAATTGCAGCATGAGGGCAGGTCCCTGTGGTTGCTCTGTTTGATTTCTGTATTGTCAGGCAGAAAGAAAGGGCTTTCTGGCCCGTCCTTAGGCTGGACTCGGGCTGCTCTTGAGTGCTGCTTAGATCAGAGGCTGTTTAAGGGACTGAGTGGCTGAACAGTCCTCGGGAGGTGGCACCGACCCATTAGCATGCCAGGAAATTCTGAGGGCTGGAGATAGGGGCCAGAGAGGCTCTCTGTCTCTGAAGCAGTGTGTTGGAAAAAATCCACATTCTCATCCAAGTGACCAAGGGATGCAGGCTTCTCTCTGCTTACCCCGGAAATCTGTTTCTGTAAAGGTCACAGTTTGGAGCCTAAGTCAGGGGACCTTGGTTCAAATTCACTCCCGGATGCCTAGGACCGTAAATTTCAGGCTGGAACGGGCCACAGAAGGCGTATAGTTCTTCCCCTCATCCGCTCCCCTATTTTGTAGATGAGGGATTTGAGCCCCATAGAGAGCAATGACTTGTCCAAGGTCACACAGGGAAGTAAATGAAAGAAGAGGGTTCTCTGATTCCAAATCTCCTATATCATGCTTCCTCCTCTGTTTGTTTGTGGAAAGGCCAGTGCAAAGGTGCAGAGATGAAGAGTCGTTTGTGAGGGATGGCAAGAAGGCCATTTTGGCTGGGCAAGTTGCTTTATCTGTAAAAAAGGGAGAATGACTCCTTTATTTAACAAATAGCCTCCATTATTCCCATGTTACTTAAGTTATTGTGAGTACTTTGTCAACCTACAGGGTCTATAGAAATGAAAGGTTACAGTTTTCCCCCCCTTTTTTTGCCCTTGGGTGGGTCATCCACTGCCTCAAACCATCCGGCTGTTTGGTCAGTGCCCCAGATTGTCTGGTGACCTCCCCTCTGTGCTCTTGGGTATTTCATTTGGATAGGGATTTGTCCCAAACAGCTAGAAACACCCCAGGGATTGCAGAGGATTTGCAATGGAAATGAGGGGGAAATACTCAGTTCTTTGTCCTCTCTCTAACCAAGATGGATCCAGATTCCTTCCCATGACCCTAAAAGAAGAGACTGTGGTTATTTTTCAGGTCAGAAAGAAGACGATGCAAGTGTCCCCTTACACCAGATACTGTGACTCTTACAAGAGGGCCTTTTGGTGAAGATTGGGAGTGAGGAGGAAGAGGTGCCCCTTTGGGAGCAAGCCTTGGCTTTCCATAGCACTCATAAATAGCATATAATATACTTTCCACAGTATGAAGAAGCCGCTTTTTAAAATCTGTCTGTCTGTCTGTCTAATCTGTCCACTCTCTCTGTCTTCCACCGTCTCTCTGTCTTTCTCTCAGAGAGGCAGGAGCAGCGCAGTGACTTCAGAAATGGCCCAGCTGGGTTTTTTTTTTTCCGCATCTGGAGAATCCTCCAGAATACCAGGCAACTGTCTTCTAGATAAACTTGCAAACATTGGGGCTGGGGTTCTTCAAGCCAAGTCTAGTCAAAGGGCTTATCTCCTGTAATAAAAGTGAAAGGAAGAGTCCTTAAAATATTTATATTGGTGTGGGGGAGGAGAGGAGAAGGGAGATTGGAAAAGATGCTCCTGAGGTGCCTTTCGGCTTTGATATACTGGGTGAAGGTCTTGGGGTCTAGGGGTCAGGAAGACCTAAAAATTCAGATCCTGCTCCAGAAGTATATGAACTGTGTGACCCTGGGCAAGTCACATAACTTGTGTAACTTCTCTGACATCAGTTTCCCCATCTGTAAAGTGGAGATAATAACACCTATTTAACAGAGATGTTTTTAGGAACAAATGAGAAAGTATATGTAAAGTGCTTTGCACATTTTAATGCTACTATATAAATGTTAGCTATTACATTGATCACTGATTCATATGCACATATAAGTGTATCTCTAAATCTGTCAATCATTCTGTCTGTTGTTGGGAGTGTGGTAAAGGAGTTAGAGGGTCAGCTGTGGAATCTGGAAGCCCTGGGGGCCAAGTCTTACCTCTCTGTCTCCCTCTCTCTCCCTCCCTTCTCTCTCTCTCTCTCCCTCCCTTCTCTCTCTCTTTCTCCTCCCTCCCTCTCTCTGTCTCTGTCATACATACACTGCACCCCCCCACATACACATACACTCCCCCGCCCCACACGTTCCTCCTGCTCCAGCTAATAATTCTGTAAGATGCTAAACTGTAGATAGAGCAAGCTCCCAGCTACATTGATTGAGGAAGTTTCCTTACCTGGAGTTCCCTATTCTGATGAAAACACAGTTCTGGTAAATGTAGATGCGTATATAGACACCCAATGCAAGGCTGTATGATGTGATATGATACAGTAGAGCACCGGGCCTGGAATCAGGAAGAATGGGTGCTAAAATCTTTCCTCACACACGTCCTAGCTGTGTGGTCCTGAGCAAGTCACTTAACTTAGCAAGCTGTCTCCAAGGCAAGCAGAAGCTTGCTTATCTATCTATCTATCATCTATATATCGATATATATCTGTAATTACACACATATACATATACATACATGTATATATGTATATATATGCATATACACACAAAACATATATAAATTATATATAACAATATATATTTATAGATATAAAGCACACCTATGTCTATGCATACACATGTAAAGAGTCTTTTGCAAAGCTTCAAGTCAGTTATTTTCAAGAATAATACTAGCAGCTTTCATTTGCATCTAAAGTCCTTCCCCAAAGTACTTCTCTCCCCTGATCCCCTGGGCAGCCCCCTGAGGTAGGTAACACCTCTATAATCATCCACTTTTACTTAAAAAGCCTTTAAGGGCTGCTGATTTTATCAGTGCAGGTGTTCTTCGGCCCACGGACATAGATCCTCTGTTGCTACTTCACTTGGCTAGACATCATGAGATTCTGTGATTGAGAAAGTCCCTAGCTAGAGGCCAGCCTCCTGGCGAGAAACCTGGCCCCAGATGACTTTCTAGAATGTCCATGAAATCTTTAGTAAAGCTATTTTGTATATACATGAAAGGTGCTGTTATTATTCTCCTAATAGTA